ACAATAAAACAAGTAATAATAGGTTATTAAATAAATAATTAATAATTAATATATCAATCATATATTATGTTAATTATAATCTATTAATAAGTAAATAGTTGATAAATAAAAAATAAATAGTAATTACTCAATTAATACTTAATATTAAATTATAATTATCAATATGTAATATACAAATCAATAATAATTAATAATTGATAATTAATAATTAATCATTATAAAAAGAATAATTTCCAAAAATTGACCATGTGATATATCAAATAATAGATTATTAAATAAACATTAGCAATTAATTAACTAATTATTTAATTATCCAACTAAAAGTTAATAATTTAAGTAGTAAACGGAATTTTAATAAGTTATGTATATACTAATTATTTTTCTTAATACACTAATTAATTACTTATAATTTAATAAATATGAGTACATTATTAGTAATTACTTATAATTAATTACGAATTAATATTTTTTAATTATTTAACATATTAAGTTATTATATATAGTTTAATTATTAATATATTCATTCATTATTATTATATTATTAATATATATTTTTATTTGCTAAATAATTATCAATTATTAATTACTTAATATATTAATTAAGATTATTAATTACATGTACTCAAAATAAATATAAATGTAACCAAACACGGTTTTACTTTTTTATCATACTCAAACCAATCTATTGAAAGACCACCAAACGTAATTTTAGAATCGGTTCCAAGATAATTTTCAAAACAATCTCATTTTTATTTTTATACTGAAAACAAAACTATTTTAAAAATATTACCAAACGGGCCCTTAGCATCGTTGTTTTCACTCATTCAAGAAAACATAGTAGTAGAAAAGGTTAAATTTAAATTTTTATGAGAAAAAATGTTATAGTAAAAATTTGAATTGTGTTTAAATTTGTGAAATAAATGAGGCTTTAGAAATTTAATTCAGTGCACGCTAATGGATTTTGTTAAGTTGTCTATAAATTATGTTATTCAGTGGTGCAACAGAGTTGTGGAGATAGAAACTTTTCAGTTGTGAGCACTATGAAAAATAAAATTTTTGAGACATGGACATGATTATAAATCTCAATTATTAAGAGACGCTATAAGTAAAAATGTTTCCATAATACGGAGGCACAATTTTAGTTTCTTAAAATATTTATGTGGCTTAGCGATTATATGTATTATCTGATAGGATAATATCTCGAGCGGTGGCCTTAGCATAAGTAGATACATTACGAGTTTTAATTAAATTACTTCTTAGTACAACTGCTTTTAAAATTTCCTGCATAGATTAGATGGAATTAAAAGTAATAAGGCATTTATTTTGCGGAGGTAGGATAATTAGTTATTTTACTACTTTTTTATGCTTTGTTAAGCTTCATTCAATATTTTATAGCAAAAACGCTGTAAATAAACCTTCTTTTCTTTTTATATAAGGGAAGAAAAGTAAGGTAAACTAGTACATCCACCTGACTATCAGATATTTTAATCCTGCAAAGTTCAAAGCTCAAACCATAAGAGCCTGCAAATAAATCTCTTCTTCAATCTTCTCCAAGGGGAAATTAACAGAGGAATAACATTATAAACTAGTAAGTTAAGCTAGAAATCATTGTATTCCCATGTTTTACACAATAAATATATTTTTTAAAAAAAATTGCAACCCCACAAATTACCCAAAAAGTCACCAGCAAGTGACACAAATTAGTAGCTACAGCATGTGATTGTGTATTTACTTTTATGTAGTTGTTTAAAATAGTCCCACACTCCCACTGTCCAGAAATTAGTAGCTACAGCAAGGTAGGTATCTTTTTTTTTTTTTTCTTTTTGAAGGTGTGATAGCTGTTGCGTATACCCAAAATGGTTGAATAATTGGGAGAAGAGAGAGAGAGGGGGAGTATGTATTCATGCATGTGAATGAAATGGCCAAAATTAGTGTTTGAACTTTGGATAGGAGTCGCCTGCGATCGTCTGAAAAAATTAAATTTATGCCCGTTGTCCGAGCCGCCCGCCTGAAAAATTTGGGCTGCCCGCCCGAGCCTGACCTCCACCTTGAATAGGTTTTGGGCAGGTCTTGGTTGCCTGAAGCCCGGTCAGGTAGCCTGAGCCCGCCCGAGCTGCCCGAATATTTAATATTTTTTTATATTTTGTTTTATTTTTATAATATTGTGTATATATATTATATATAATATTGTTTATTAATTGTATTTGTATATAAATAATTATTAAGTTATTTATTGTAAAAATTATATAAAAATTATAATTAAGATTAAAATCAACACACACTATTAAAATATTTACTACTAAAAAATTTTCAGGCGGGCTTCGGGCAATGGGTTTTCCATGGCGGAGGGTTTATTTTTTTTGCTCCATTTTTGGACTACCCGAGCCCGAGCCTAGCCTAGAACTTGGATGAGCGGACTTACGACCCTGCCCGCTGAGCCCGAAAATTTTCGGGCTTCGGGCAGGCCCGCCGCCCGTTCTTCCAGCACTAGCCAAATTTGATCTTTAAACTTTCTCAGACGATCAAATCCAAATCAAAGTTGCACAAAAAAGATATTGTGCTATCTGGAACAACCTTTTTTTTTTGGTGCTATCTTGTCTCCCCTACACTTTTCCTACTTTGTCGGATTGCATCTGAACGTTTAATTTGATAGTTAACCGACTATATAGTCATTTAAATGGGTAACAGAAAGAGTTATTTGCCTCGTAATTTTTGCATTTTATCACTGGAACTTTTCATTTCAAGAATTACTTAAATACTTTTACTTTTGACAAAAATTTAGGGGACAATATCGTAAATACCCATGTACAATGCTATTAATCCTATCAAACAATGTCAACATATATCGATTATGAAAATAAAATAAAAAAGTATATTATTAGTAATATTATTGGTAACACATTTTTCTTTTAATTTTGGTAACTCGAATGTGCATTAACTTTCGAGATTCTTAATTAAAATGACTTTATATAGACATATAGTAAATATGTGTCTATTCTAGCAGTAAATTTACACGCAACTCTCTCATAAAATATAGAATTCAAATTCTTTAAGTTCAGTTTAGGAGAAAGAAACATTTCATATATTGTAATAGTGTTTACTATATTGCATTTTATTTTTTATTTTTTAAGGATACTATATGGCAAAATTTTGATTAATATGTTAAACTTTTTGTTTTTTAAATAATGAGTTCATCACTTTATTGAAGGAGGCAACTATGCCATTATAATATTATCAATATAATGAGGATGGTCCTCCAAATCTAACCAAAAACTGTTAGAAAGTAACCATAACTAAATAAAATATAATCTACTTGAATATGGGTGCATTTGGTATTGTTTTCATTTGATTTTAAGGACATTTTTGTATGTATTTTAAGGCATGAAAATGAAATTAATCTCTAACTCGCATTTAGTTAGTAAATGCTTTAAAACTGAGAACAAAAATAAAAAATAATGAGAATAATTTTTGTTCAGAAAATATAAATATTTGAAAGTTATTTTTACATTTTCTTTGTTTTCATTTTCTAAAACTATAACTTAATACACATTTTTAAAAACATACTCAAATACGATTTCATTTTTTTCTTATCTAAAATAATTTTTATAAAAATATAATCAAGCGCAATTTTAAAAATAGTTCCAGCACTATGTTCGAAAAATTCTCATTCACCATTTTCGTACTAAAAAAAACTCTTTTGGAAACGTGAAAATTGTTGAACTTACAATCGTAGTACATGTGTATGAATTTTTATCATTTATTCTTAATTAATACTCTTTTGACTAATATAGTTATTTGATTAAAAATGATATTAATCAAAAGTAAAAATCCAATACACTTTAAGAGATATTTATTTCTTTTTTCCTTTGCAAACACTACTAAATTGGCCCTAGATTCTGTATAGTTTCTTTATAGAGAAAATTACATAATTTATCATTATTTTTTATAAAACTCTTACTTATATCATTGTAAATAATTGAACGTTATTATGATTATTTTATTTTCTTGTTATTAATTAAATGAAAACTATTTATTTTTTAATAAAGCGATATAAATAATGTT